ACTCTGTCCACACAGAGTCTGACGCAGGGCTCGAACTCACGAACCATGAGATCATGACCTGGCTGAAGTTGGATGGAAACCTGCTATTTAAAAAATACTGTTGTATTTATCTTATTGCACTGTTTTGTACTGTAGGGGTCTTGAAGGGCATGAGTTATAACCAGTTATCTCTCATGGAATCTATATTTTCATATATTTGCATAAGATGAGGTAAACCTTCCTCATTTTAATCGCTACAGATTCCTGTTTTCTTCGTGAATTCTAATGTCTGATTTTTCATTTATGTTTCCCTACACATCTTTATAACTTTGCTCAGGCTTTCATTCACTTCCTTTAGGTTTGTTAAGCTTGCCCTCTCTAAACTCACTCCTGCACTCTACCCCCTGATTGTTTGCTTTTTTAAAGAGGATGTGTGTTGTGCACGTATACAGATCATTTTGTGTGTGTCCATTTTGAAATCTTCCTGAATCATACAGCTTTTTTGTTGTTTTATTGTTTTATTTTTTATTTTTTTTTTAACGTTTTTATTTATTTTTGAGACAGAGAGAGACAGCATGAACAGGGTAACAGGGTAGGGTCAGCGGGAGGGAGACCCAGAATCTGAAACAGGCTCCAGGCTCTGAGCTGTCAGCACAGAGCCTGACGCGGGGCTCGAACTCATGGACCACGAGATCATGACCTGAGCCGAAGTCGGCCGCTTAACCGACTGAGCCACCCAGGCGCCCCGTTGTTTTATTGTTTTAAATTGCCATGGCACTTTCCCCCAGATTTGTGCATACTGATCTCTTTTTGTTATTATACTGGTTACTTAGTATTTACTTACTGTACTGATCTCTTTGTACAATTAGTCACAAAGAGGTACCTGCCTTTCTAGATCTGGATTATAATTAAATGTAAATTAGTAAAGTAATGTTAACTTTAGGGCTAAATCTACAGGTTAACTCTTTTTCTCTAAGAAGCTTAGCACTTAGTATCCTCAGACCTATTAATTTTCAACCCACCTGGAGAATGTATTTTTCTTTTGGTGGTAAAGAATAGTTGATACAACGTATACTTTGGTGTCAGATAAGGCTGTTCAAATCTTAGGTCTTGCTTTTCCTGGATGTGACCTTGAACAAAATACTCTCTTAAACCTCCACTTTCTCATCTTAAAAAGGATATAATACTTAATTCATAGGATTGTTGGGAGATTAAAAAAGGATAAGGAGTATAAAAGTTTTACTTTGTATCTAGTACACATTTCCAATTTCTCAATAAACTCAGGATACTACTGATTACAAGATCACCTCTACATGTAGACATAACGGGCAAGACAGATAGGTAAACACTGCCCAGGACGGCCAGTCTGACCTTTGGTTTTTATCTGCAGCTGCTGTTGCTGATTGTATATCTTCCTGTTTTGCTTTGACCTTTTTGCCCCCCAAACGAACCACCCATTTGTGATTTGTGCCTTCTGAGCTGCTTCATACGTATGTTGCAGTGTGGTTTGGAACAAAGCAGTAACGCTTAGAATTAGACACTGAATGCTATTGGCATTTCTTTTCACTTTTCTTTGTAGTTTCTATTCTGCATTTGAGCTTCCTGGTCACCATTTGCCCTCCATAGGCCCTGCTTAGGTGGGAGCAAGAATTGCAATTCTGGGTGAACTGGCACCATTGTAGCAACTTCTCTAGCGATTCTATCGAGACAATGAAATGTGATAAATAAGTGACTCTATGATAACTTATCATAGAGTTGTGATGTTTGTAACAGGTTCAGATGATCTTCTGACTGACATAGAGCTTATTGCCAAGTTGAATTCTGCTATCTTTTTAAAGGCTGTGCTAACTTTGGCTTGGCTGACTCCTGATTTGGTATCATAAATCTACAAATCATGGGCATTGAGGCTGATGGTACCCTGATGAATTTCCATGATTCAAACTGTGGATGGTTAGGCATATGAGACACTTTTTTAGCCTATCCAACATGGCCTTATGGCTGTTATTTTGTAACTTTGCATTCACTGACTCTACAGAGTGGTCTGGGGCTTTCTCCTGCTACCTGTGTGTCCAGGAAAGACAGAATCATGAACATGTACGTAGCACTGACTGCATTGTAAACATTCATACTATATTAACTATTTAATCTCCACAAAACCCTCTAAGATACATACTGTTCGCCCCATTTTGCAGATACAGAAGCTAAGGCAAGAGCAGTTACTGTACCTTGCCAAGGGTCATACCACTACTGAGTGGAGGAGTTGGGCTTGTATCTAGGCAGCCTGGTTCTAGATCACATGTTATATCATACCTAAATTTCAGCAGATAGGGAGCCGATCAGTGCATGGTACACTAAAGACTGCTTTTTTGTGATCTGCCCTTTCATCTTGCACTGTTGTTTCCTAGCCTCATGGAGCCTCTGATGTCACCAAGGTGAGAGGACTGGAATTTTTGGCATTTTGTCCAAACCAGCCAACTTCTCAGTTCTAAGACTGAGATGGCTTGGTGACCATCTGGCTCCATAGTTCTTGGTTGCAGTGAAGACTGCACTAGGCTATGGAACCAGTCTCACCTGAGTTTAAATCCTGCCGTAAATATCCAATAAATATGCAGTAAATATCTAGTGAGTTCCTAAATGTCAACTACCAGGCTTTGTACTGAGTGCTCAGGATACAGTAAACAAAGCAATTCCTTGCTCTCATGGAATTTAGTCAAGTGAGAGAAGGACTGAAACATACACATCAGGAGGTGAATGCTAAGAAGAAATACAAGTCAAGGGGATAGAGGCTAAGCATTTTTTTCTTAATGGTTAGGCAAAGTCTGATATGGGGACATTTGCGCAAATATTAAGTGGAGGAATATGTATGTGGCTTGCTAGCGAACATGTTTTAAGGAAAGGGCCCTGAGCTGAGAGCATGATTGTTCAAGGAACTGCAAGGATAGGAGGGGAAACGTAGAAGGAAACAAGATGACAGGATGGAGGAGAGGTTGGTAGGAAGAGAGGATGTTATCTATACCTTGTACGGCCTTAGAAGTCAAAGAGACATACATAACGTCTATTCTGAGTGAGATCGGAAACCAGAGTGTCCGTGGCAAATGACATATAACTTGACTTCTGGGTTTTCGTTTTCCCCATCTTAAAAATGAATTGCAAAGTTGTGAAGATCAGAGACCATGTAGGAATACTTTTGACATAAAACACTTAAACCAACCAGTCAATACGTATTGCAGTACTCAGTACATTGCATTTTCTTCTCTATACCTTGGGTAGGCTGCAGCATGTCATGCTGCTTAAGACTAAGCTCCCATGAGTGCGCATAAGGGGGATTATGTCCTTCAGGCATAGGAGAGTGGTCCTGGAGAAAGAAAAAGCGGAGCTTTAGATGGAGATTCGTTTAGTCATTGAATATCTGTAGCTGAGGTTGTCCCTCTTCCTGTTTAAAAGGCTGCAGCGGCGCCCAACTCGCTCTCCCAGGGTCCACTGCAGCAGAGACACCGCCTCCAAAGCCTGTTTGCCGGCGACTTTCGGCTCTGTGCCTGTCGCCGCCTTCAACTCCCGGCATGCCGCGGGCGTGGGGCCGACACGTAGACTCCATTTCCCAGCATGCCCCGGGGCTCGGTCAGGACGTGCCGGCGCCTATAAGAGCCAGAGCGCTGCGGCCGGAGCCTATTGTTAGCCGGAGCCGGGGCGGTTCTGGGCGTCTGCTACCGGGGGCGCCTGAGTTTGCTGGAGCCGCCCGCCCTCCGCCGCCTGCCGGCCGACCTGCCCACCCGCCCTCCCTCCCAGCCCTGCCGCCCTGGGAACTCCCCGACCGTCGCCGCGGGCCCGGGACTCGCTATCTCCTCTCTCCTTCCCACCCGGGCTAGGGCGGCGGCGGCGGCAGCGGGGGCGGCAGAGACCATCACGGGAGGAGGCAGCTGCGGCGGGGCCGGTAATGGGCCTGGGGGTGCGGGGCGGAGGGTGCCGCCTCGTCCTTTCTCGGGATCGGCCCTCGGGCGGCTGTGGAGGAGTGGTCAACCCAGAGCTGCGCGGATGGAGGGGTCAGAAATGAGGGAGGCTCGGACGGGAGCGGTCGGGGGGCGGGGAGCCAGGGCGCCGCTGGGAAGGGAAAGAGTCGGGAGAGGCGTGGGAGCTAGGGGCACGGAGGACGCGGGCCCGAACTGCGGGGGCAGCTCGGGGGAGACCGATGGGCGGCTTGGAAGCTGGCAGGATTGCGGATGAGGGTTGAGTTCGGAATGGAGTGGAGATGATGCAGGATGGAGGGAAGTGAAGGAAGGGGAGGGCGAATAGAGGAAAATGTGGGAGGAGTGGTTGGGAATTTGTGAGTAGCAGGCAGGAAGGGATGAGGAAGGCTGGGCAGGGGCTGCAGACGATTGGAATGAGCGGGAAGGTTAGCAGGAATCAGAGAAATGGGTTGGGAGCTGAAGGGTTCAGCAGGGGTGTCCATTAAAGGGAACTGATGCCTTGACATGCCCTTTCGGCTCAGGTTCCTGATGGCTCCCATTTTTCTGGCGTTGTGGGGGGAAACGAAAGCATCACTTGCCCTGGTTGCTAGCTCGATCGTTTTTTCACAGGCCCAAACACGCAGCTGACTGCCATCCATCCCTTTTAGTGCCATGGTCTTGATTTATTTATTTATTTATTTTTTTTTTTGGAAGGGGTTAGAGTGGCAGCGTGACACGCAAACCGTTCTTCAATATGAAATGTTGGAAGTTATCCCCGAGAGACACAGTGTCCTCTTGTCCTGCAGTTTTCAGTTTAAGGGAAACCCATAGTTGATTCACATTTTCCTTTTCTTCGCTGACTTTACATCTTGCTAATTTCCAAAGCCGGGAGGATGTTGGTGTGTGCCAGAGTTATCAATGACTGGATATCCTTGAGGGTTAGTGGTTCCTGCAGCATCACCTTCCTCATCTCCCACAAAGATCTTGTGTCCTCCGTACGATGGTAGTTTAGACATGGGAAGCCAAATTCTAACCTTGTGTCAGTGAATGGGGGGGGGAGGGAGGGTTGGAGGGACGCTTCCTTAAAATACCTAGTTTAAACAGTATGTTTGCACTTAAGCACTTTATATGTTCATAATCCTGGTAATCACAAGGACACATGGATCCAAGGAATTGATAGTATTTGAGAATCAGCTGCAATATCTTGTAAAAGGAGAAACAGGGTCGGTCGTCTTATTCAGGTTTATCCTAACAATTAGCAGCAAGCCTTCCTTCCTCTAACCCAGCTATGGAAGATAACCCTGACGATCTTACCAGAGATTTTTGTCTCTTGACCTTTAGTAGAAGGTTGGGTTCCAGTGGAGTGGGGAGGCTTTCTCCCATGAGATATGCCTTGTCTCGTCATTTTATACTCATTTAAGAGAGAGGCCTTTGTTACCTAAACTTGGCGAATACACTCTGAACCCACAAAATTATTTCTGGACAGTCCCTCTTTTGCTAGTCTCACATAAGCTGTTTTGGTTTTGGGGGGAGTGATAGGAATCCTACAGACGTGAAAAGGCTTAGATCTAGTACTAAAATGCACATATGCTGTAGATCTTTATTTGGTGCTCGCCTAATATCTTCTATATACTCTGGATATGAGTTATTTCATATACCTTTGAGAAATACTCAGACACACTTGAGAAAAGACCATAAGGCAGAAGTATGTAGCCAGAAAGTATCAGCTGACCTTTCATTTCACTGTCATTAAAAAGCTTTTATAGAGGTTTGCATTGTTTTCTCCAAAAGCATTTGTTGTTTGAGTTGGTCATTTTCACAGTTAACTGTCAGTTATGACCTGCATTTCCAGTCTCACCTTCATTATTTCTGTCTGGGTTTAAGTGCTTGGAGTGTAACTTACAAGTGTTTCTCTTATACACAGGCATTGATCCTTTGCCAATGAATGGTTGAGAGAGGTGGGCATGACTGATTTCTAATTGTGGTTTGAAAAGAGGTTGATTTGATGAACTGGAAAGTGTGGAACCTATTCTAGTTGCTTCTGTTGCAACGAAAGGTCTCTTCAGGCCACTGTGGGAAGTGGATGGGAGGTTTGTTCTTGATGCCCAGTGAGTATCTTTGCCTGACAAGTTGAGTTCACACCAGAGTTGGGTAAGGAAGGCTGGGTTGAAATTTAAATTTCTATTGGTTGTCAGGACAGAGTTGATGGATTTTGTGTATATATATATGTATATGTATATGTATATGTATATGTATATGTATATGTATATATGTGTGTGTGTGTGTATACAAATACATACATGTATTTGTATATATAAATATATGTATAAAATGGAGTGAAAAAGTGACGCAAACAGATCCTGGGTAGCGTTAGGAGAGCTAAATCAGTACGCACATTATTTACACATAGAGCCATAGGTTCAGATTAGTCTCCGGCGTTTTAAGGAAAATATCTTTCTCCTAGGTTTCACATCCTTTCTTTCTTTTCTTTCCCCCCCTCTTTCTTACCTGCCTCTTACGACTGCCCAGAAGCCACTCTTCTAGAAGTGGAAGTGGGGAAGACCTAGAAAAAGGGGCGAAGGAGAACGGAACAAGTAGCCAGCAGTCCTCGCTGCACCAGAGGAAGTGTTACCCCCGAGGGCAGCTGGGTTAAGACAGCGAGAATTTTAATAATAAAGATGATTTCGGACCAAACCCAAACTCATGCAGGGCATAAAGAGAAATACTCAAAGGGAGCCCACAATACTGGAAGCAAAGGGACACTGGAGGAAAGACCAGGAGCGCACAGTTTGCTTCCGGTCAGAGATCCCCTCGTGTTTCCAGGCTGAGGAAAAGGCCACCTTCCCAGTAGCAACACTAAAGATACCAGTTAAAACTGAAGCTGGACTGAGGCCCTTTCTCAAAAGAGCAGACTTTCAGCTCAGTCTGAGTTTTTACGTGGTTGATAAGATTTTTAAGTGGGGAAGAAAAAACTCGGTTCAGTGGTCAACGGTATTCTTTCTCTCTCTCTTTTTTTTAAACATCACCCACATAAATTCTCAGTCGGAAAGATTACCTCCCAATGTCGAATGCAAGGAAGAAATTTGTTAGTTAATAGGTATCTTTAAACCTAGCTGAAATCGTAGCCCATTAAAGAGTCCCTGGCGCTCTCCGTTCTTAATATGTGCGAGGAACGTGACCTCTGATGGTAAGATCAGTAGCCCGAAGAACAGAATCGATACTTTGGGCTCCTTTTTGAATTTCATTACAATTCTTATCAAGCACTTGGTTATTTTTTTTTTCCTCCTGGCCAAGTGTATTTCAGGAATGTGCTTGTCTAGACCTATGATGGCTGAGGTTTCCTAGGTACATCTTGTGACTTGAATACAGAATTTTGATGAGATCTGCATAGAGAGATCAGGAAATCTCTTCGCTAAAGTACTCATTAGGTCTGGTTGACTAAGTAGAGCTGATCCAGGAGCAGGCAAATTGCTTCCGAGAGACTCAGTCCAGAAAAACAGCTCTGTAGCAGACAGCTTTTGACACCACAGTATATTCTGGGTAGCTGCTCTGCAGTAATGCAGCCCTGTCTTTCTGGGCAGTGTTGTTATTCCTGCTGCATAATTAGCAACTAGTGAGATCATAGTCTGGGGAGATTCTGGCATTACTGAGGCAAAGCAGGGAGGCTTCGTATCGTCACATGTGGCTCTGGCTCTGACAGCATTTCTGTTTCGAGCAGATTCATATTCTTGGGAACTTAGGTCCAAAGATGGAGAAGGAGAGAGATCTGTACCTGGGAAGTGCACTATCCCTCGTGTGGCACGTTGAAAACACTGCCTGCCGTATTGACTTTACCAGAGTCAATTGTCACTTCTCTTGCTATTTGTTTTCCCCTCGCTGGTTTCTTTACAGGGGGCTGAGATTGTAAAGCTAAGTTTTCCTCGCACAGGGGATGATGACAGACCGGCCGAGCCCTATTTTATGGAGCTATATGAGATCGGAAAAGCTTCTGGGTTTCGAAGGCAGTGCAGATTCTAATCTTCAGTCCATTCTTTACAACCACATTTGATCTTTGTAGGAGGCCGGTGAGAATCTTCACCCTTGTGAAGATCTAGGTAAAGTGTTTCCCTGGCTTCTGATATACCGTGAAATTTGGGGCCGAGAGCAGTGTTTCCCAATGTGCGATCCAAGGCTCATGTGCCCCCCGAGATTCTTCCATAATCGGGTGTGTGGAACACTGCACTAGCTGTGGGCTCTCACGCTTCACCGTGCTCGTTGGCATAGTCAAGGCCTTCAAGCCATCCTCTCATAGCGCTTTTCTAAACTGTTTGGACACGGCAGTCCTATTTCCACGTAAGGCTATTAATATCCATGGAACTAGTTTATTTAATGTACGCACTTTGGGAAACGCCAGGCCAAATTTTCCCTAGGAGAAATAATTGGCTCTCGTTTAGGTTTAGGCACAGCCTAATTCTGCCTTTGATCCCCAGTCCCTCCTCCTGGCCCCTTGGGAGAGCTCTCCCGTGTGAGCACAAGAGCAGCTACCGTTATCCCCGGGCTAGTGAAACCCAGAGCCCAGCTGGCGTGGAACCAAAGGCCTTCACTCTGCTGGGAAGGGTGCTGCTGTTACTCATCTCATTATTCTAAGAGTGACTGGGACTGAAGGGAAACATAAGTAGGAGAATGTTGGCCAGAACAGGTAGAGAAATGACCTAGTCGCAAGAGACCAGACATCAGTGCTAGCTCAGGGACTTTCTTTCTTCATTTGGAGAGCCGCGTGTATAGACTTGGGAGGGAGGTCTGTCTCAGGACAGGAGTGCTGATTCCTCTTTTCCCCTGGGCAGAATCCTAATGCGCCCGGCTAACTGGTGGTGAGCAGGGGCTTTGGGGCCAACGCCGTGGGCTCCCCAAGGAAACCCCTTTGAAACCAATGGATGCATTCACGGGCTCGGGTCTCAAGAGGAAGTTTGATGATGTGGATGTGGGCTCATCAGTTTCCAACTCCGATGATGAGATCTCCAGCAGTGACAGTGCTGACAGCTGTGACAGTCTCAATCCTCCTACAACTGCCAGCTTCACGCGTGAGTGAGCCCCTCTACCCCCCACCTGCACCCACAGCCCCCCAAGCACCAGAGCCCTTGCAGTCCTTGCGACTGCTTCTTCTGTCCAGCTTGGGGATTTTCCCTTAACCATAATCTTCCTACTCTTAGCCCAACCTCGCTCTTTGGAGGACTTCACTGCTCTAATATCATAGACTTAGGTCTGACTTCCTCTAGCCAATTTTCCTTATGCCAAGTTTTACAGGTTCCCAGGAACCTATGGGCTGAGTTAAATTGAAGAAGTCCAGGATACCACCCTTGCCCACCCGAGTTCCACACAATTGTAGCACTAGTAGGACATAAATGCTTACTGCCTGGACAACTGGGGAAACTCCAGATTTCTTCTTCTTTTTTTTTTAATTGTTTAAAATGTTTGTTTTTGAGAGAGAGAGAGAGAGACAGACAGAGTGTGAGTGGGGGAGGGGCAGAGAGAGAGGGAGACACAGAATCTGAAACAGGATACAGGCTCTGAGCTGTCAGCACAGAGCCCGATGTGGGACTTGAACCCACGGACCGTGAGATCATGACCTGAGCCGAAATCGGCCGCTTAACTAACTGAGCCACCCAAGCATCCCCACATTTCTTAATTCTTATAGCTCAATTAATTTCTTGGAAAGAACTTCCACATGAGAGCGGGAGAGGGACAGAGGAAGAGGGAGAGAGAGGATCCTAAGCAGGCTCCATGCCTAGTGCAGAGTCCTACGCTGGGCTCGATCTCACAACCATCTGGTCATGACCTGAGCAGAAATCAAGAGTCCAACGCTTAACTGACTGGGCCACTCAGGCGCCCCAGAACTTCTGATTCTGTAGATCAGAGGTTGCCTATGGACCAAATCTGGCCCGCTGCCTGTTTTTGTAAATAAAGTTTTATTGGAATACAGCCACACACGTCGTAATTGATTTCATGCTACAGTGGCAGAGTTGAGTAGTTGCGGCAGAGTTGCAAAGCCTAAAGTATTTACTATCTGGCCCTTTAAAGAAATACAGCATCCTCTGCTATAGGTTATACACACTGTCCAATAGAATTTTCTCTTATGATAGAAACAGTCTAGGGGTACTAGGTGTCTCAGTCAGTTGAGTGTCTGACTCTTGATTTTGGCTCAGGTCATGATCCTGGCATTGTGGGATCCAGCCCCATGTTGGGCTCCATGTTGAGTGTGGAGCCTGCTTGGGATTCTCTCTCTCCCTCTGCCCCTCTCCCCCACTTACACTCTCTCTTTCTTAAAAAAAAAAAAAAAAAAAAAAGTTTTACATCTGCACTGTCCAGTATGATAGCCATCAGCCGTACGTAGCTGTGAGCACTTGAAATGTGATTAGTGTAATTGAAGAGCTGAATTTTAAATTTTATTTTGAGTAACTGAAATTTAAATCGCCACAGGTGGTTACTTGCTGCCATACTGACTGAAGCTATATAGATTGTTACATCCTGAAAAGATGGCCTAGATGTCCTCTTCCCAGCTGATGTCCAAAATTAGATGTTGTGGTCATCTGTGTGGGTAAAGTCAGTCTGGAGGCAGTGGTTCGGACCAGCTGATGTTCAAGGCCCCTCCCAACTGTGCATTTACGATGTGACGATCAGAAGTTTCCCAAGGTTCAGAGAGCACTTTGGACAACAGTGGAGAGCCTAGTTGAATGAGAAAGAACGAGACCGCCAGGCAGGCCGTTCCTGGGTTAGTAACACTGCTCTGTGCTCCCTTCTCAGCCACATCCATCCTCAAGCGGCAGAAGCAGCTGCGGAGGAAGAATGTGCGCTTTGACCAGGTGACCGTTTACTACTTTGCCCGACGCCAAGGCTTCACGAGTGTGCCCAGCCAGGGTGGGAGCTCTCTGGGCATGGCCCAGCGCCATAACTCCGTGCGCAGCTACACGCTCTGTGAGTTTGCTCAGGAGCAGGAGGTGAACCATCGGGAGATTCTTCGTGAACACCTAAAGGAGGAGAAGCTCCATGCCAAGAAGATGAAGGTGCCTAAGGGGTCTGGGATCTGGTATTTAACCGCGTTCCGAGATAAAATGGAAAACCATCTGGGTCTCTGGATTCTTTATTTATTTGTTTTAAATTTGTTGCCCTCGGCACGTAGAAATTCCAGATCTTTTTAACGAGACATCCCAGATTCGGAATCCGATCTCAGTCTGAGACACCATTGTTCTGGTCTCTGGCGGGGAGTCTACACAGGGTAGCGAAATGGCTTCCCTAGAATTCCCTACCCTCAGCAGATTTTTAAAAAGCTTAAAATGTGAATATCTACAAACATTCGAGTCTGCCACCCTTGGAATCTGAGGAAGCACAGTGTTTCAGTTTCTTGTCAAATGATCATCTGTTGTCCCAATGCCCAGAACGGGTTTTAGGTCCTTTACGTTCTCTGATAGGACCCTGCTGTTTCTATAACCCCCGTCACCTCGAGGTGATAGTCTTTTATGTGTAAATGACAGTGTAGCCAAATAGTTCTTTGACTGTGGATGGTCCCGGGCCTGCCGCTGAGGCCGCGCCAGCTCTCGCAGTGTAGGAGAGCAGCGCTGGAAGAAGACCCGTCTCTCGCAGGATGGCTCTTCACAGCTACCCGTTTGCTTTCAGCACTGCCTGGCACTCCACAGCCGTGTTTTCCACCAGGCCGCAAAAAGGTCCCCCCGAGTTCCTAGTTCCAAACTTGGAGAACACTGCTTCTGGCCCGGCCAGGTTTCTTGTGGGCCCAAAGCCTGCTGACCCATATTAAGACAGGTGGCTGCGTTATTTCCAGGGCTGCGGGTGACCCCCTGATGAGCCACACCAGATTGTGGTGTGGTCGGAGAACTGACGGCAGGGGATGTGGACTAATGATATCCCTTTCCCCCTGTGAGAGCCGTGTCTCCTTCCCTCAGTGTACTCCCAAAGCCTTACACCTGTTTTTCTAACTGGAATGACATTGAGGCGTCCCTTTCTTGTGTCTGAGGAATTCTGTCACTGACCCTATCACCTTCCTGCTGCTATAGCAACAGCTGGGGAAATAAACACCGTTCTCATCATTTGCGACGAAGGCTCTCTTCCCTTTCCGTAGAAGAAACCCGTCTCCTAAATCCGGTAGAGGCATAGCCTGTCACAGCAAGATTCCATTCTGTTCTGTGGCCCCCCCCCCCCCCCCAGGCAGGATGTATAGGGACAGAGCTCCGCAAACTCCAGGCTGGCAGAGGATTCCTCCTTATTAGCAGACTTTGCGAACAGCAGCACTAGTGGCAGCTGGTACATCTTTCTGTGTCAAGAGAAAACCCTGCCTTTG